ATATATATATATATATATATATATATATATATATATATATATATATATATATAATGGTTTCAGTGCCTCAGGTATGTAGCAGTTGCAGGTATTCACGTTGCGATGTAGTTTTTTAATGTGAAAACCAGATGTGCGCTGTTTGCTTTATTTGCATTCTCAGGGCTGTGGCAGAGAAAGAGAGAAAGAGAAAGAAGGGGGGATCATGACGTCAAACATAATAATGAGCCATAACAGCATTTCAACAAATATCTTTGGAGCGACAAAACAGAAGGGGAAAATAACAAAGTGGCAATCAAATACAATAAGCCTGGCATACATTATAATTTTGCAAGTAATTTGTTTTATTTTTGTCGAATAAAGTGCACCATAAACATTTAATTCGACTTGTTTATATAATGGAAATGATTGGGGATACTTGTCAGTAGAATGCATATTAGACTGGGTAGAAAATAGGTCAATTTATGGTTGAACATCTCACCCTCAATAACAAAAAAAAAAACTGAATGAAAGGACCCCTAGTTTGTCCCTCCAAAATTACCTGATCGAAGAGACGGTGGTGTCTTACCTTGACGTAAGACGACGTGTCAGGGACAGTTTGAAACATGTCTACTTGACAGACAGGCCCAAGGGTGCTCAGTGTCCAATGGGCCCTGAGAAAAGGAAAATAAAAGGTATTAATAATATTTTACTATTATTATTATTTAATTTTTGTATCATTTCCATTTCAACGGGATGCTTTATGTATCGTTTTATATGTATATGGATGATTGTAATGCTTATGTGACTTTTTGCTGAAATTGAAAGCAACAAATACTCCGCGCTTTAGATTTTCTTGCTGCCATCAAGACATCACTTACACTTGACATGACAGCTACGCGCTGTACAGCAAACATCCACAAAGTACCGCGGGTGTTGTGAACTTCCACATATGGTTTAAACTTCCATCGAAACAAAGGGAAAGTCAAATTTGCTCAATGCACCCCTGTACGCCTGACTGCACACATAATCCTATGATCCAGTCATAGAGGTCTCATTTTTTTCCAGAGTGGTCAGAGGTATTAGATACGGGTGGGTTTTAATTACCACTGTCCGTACATTAACAACACCAACTGATACACCACTGACCTACTGCTAACATGGATGAATGACTCCAAGTCGCCCAATGGGAGCTGGGCAATGAGAAGAAGAAGAAGAAGAAGAAGAAGAAGAAGAAGAGGGGCCCCATCCCCACCCCCATCACGTTTTCCCCCTCAAGCTTACCACATATTGAAACACTTTTCGCTTTAATAAGTGCAGCTTACAAAGTCTAGGGTGAAAGGGCACTTAGAGGACGGTGTCTTTAGCCCTTCCCTCCCTGTGCAATTATTCGAGAGGCAGTGGCATATACCATCACAAATGGCTGTTATATAGACTGTGTGATAAAGCAAATGAACGTATATGGACCTCATTCAAGACCTCTAAAGTTCAAAGTTATCTCAACAAGGCGTATCACTCTCCTGTTCAGCATGCTCTTACCTGTCAGGATAATAAATATACAAGCAGGAGTCTTTTACCTATTTCAGCATAATTAGTGGTTGATGCACTTGTGATCTTAAAGCCAGTATACCGAAAAAAATATTCTAAATTAAAGACGCGAAAATGAAACAATAAACAGACTTGGAGAGACGCACACCTTTCGCAGCCAGGGGTTTAATAGCACTCAAATTTCTCCTGTTTTATAGCGCAATTTCACCTTCAAGATTTTCATTGAATTCTTGGCCCCTGATAAATTATCCCCCAAAAAAGAGAGGGGGTTCCATATAAACGTGGCACGGCATAAATACTTGTAGGACCAATGTTTTTTTTTTTTGTCTTCTCGGCTTCTGGAGGCAAACGCAGGACTCGCCTCATAAAGTTCCCCAAATGCATCCAATTTCTACGCGGTAAAAAGAGCATAGGACACCGCATCTGCAGCCAATTAGGCAGAGGAGGACTGGTGAATAACGG